AATATTTTTTTAGTTTTAACTAATTAATAAAGAACATTATTACATTCTTGCAGTTGTTTCATTCTCTTCTCAATAAGACAGAAAAATTAATAATAATTCAATATGTCATACAAATGCAAAAGATTAACCATACACTGTTCATATTATTGTTTCCATAATTTTTACTGAAATAATTAGTACTACAAATTAAATTTTTCAAAATTAATTACAAATTTTAAACAAAAAATTTTAAAGTTCTGAAAAAAATATTAAAAAGTATTTGTTAAACTTTTAATTAACTAATAATAATAACATTTTTTAAATAAATTAATTAATATTCTAATAATCAATAACTGTAAATGTGAGAAAATACAAGACGGGTTTCAAGCAGGGGCCCGCACGCATATTCGGCCCTGGCGCAAGGAACGGGCGAAGCAGCGGGGATGCAAGAACTAATCTTTGACGCTGAGTTGTGTAAAAAACATGCTCTGACATTTTTCAACTTATCACAAAAACGAAACAATATTTTTTAAGTCTTAAAAATTACTTTTAAAGCTAAGATCTTAAAGATTATGTTGTAGGAGTTACAAATTTTTCCTTGCATTTTCCTAGATTATGCAGGGAATCAAAAACTGGGTACGAAATTGGGAAAATTAGACGTTTTTTTTCGAAATCTTTCCAGTGTTATAATCGCTCCAGAAAGTCGAAAAAAATTCTAGGTATATATTCAGAAGCAGAATTTTATCTGCTTTCAGGTGATCTAAGTTTCAAGTCTCTAGCTTTTCTCAAACTTAAAATATCTTAATTTAGGTGCGACATCAACATTTCATCCCGCGCACGTCAATCGTACCGACAATTTCCGACGGTAGTGTATAGGTACGGTCACACGACTTTTGGAAAAACCATTCATGTCTTTCTCTCTCCTAAGACAGAGGCATAAGATTGTCTCACTCTGCATTTTCTTACATTTCCCAAAGACGGAAAATGCAGAGTGAGACAAACTTATGCGTCTGTAATAGGAGAGAGAAAGACAAGAATGGTTTTTCCAAAAGTCGTGTGACCGTACCCTATGTATGTGTGTGTGTGTGTGTATGTGTGGATCGTTTTTGTGAACACGATATCTTTAACAGGTTTTAATGGATTTGGATAAAATTTGGTAGGCTTATTTAACACATTAATCTCTCAAAAATGACGAGAGGATTTTTAAAAATACCCCCAAAAAAAAATTTTATCGTCTTTTTTCCACAAATTTTTTTTTAATTGAAAAAATTTTTAAATCGAAAAATTTAAGGTAATATACAATATAATCGTCTTCTTTATGTCAAGATGAATCGATTGATATATATAAAGTATAGATTTGATTGAAATTTAAAGAATTAAAGAAAGTTAAAAAATCAAAATTTCTCATTTTAGCTAAAAAATGATGTGTTTATTTAAATTCATGTTTATATATGAAATAATTTTATTCCCTGCATTGAAACGAATTGGTTGGTATATATAAAGTATAGATTTGATTTAAAATTTGAAAATTAATAAAAATTGAAAAATCGAAAATTCATATTTTAGCTAAAAAATTTTGTGTTTTTTTTAAATTCAAGTTGATGAATAAAATAATTGTATTCCTTGCATTAAAACGAATCGATTCGTATATATAAAGTTTATGTTACACTCAAAATTAATTAAAATTTTCTTTATTTTTCAAAAAATTTAATTAATTTAAAACATTTTTAATTCGAAAGTTTTTAAATCAATCAATTGAATTGGACAAATTCATTGCTTCCTTCACGAGGAAGCGAATTTTTTGCTTCACACAATGAGGAAGCATAATGTTTATGAAATAAACATAAAGGACCCCCTCCTTGTTATTTATTAACAACATTCTATGTTTACAGTAACCTTACATCAACCTTACAGTAACCTTAAATGAAGCTTACAACTACCTTACCGTGTAAGCTTACCACAACCTTACCATGTAAACTTACCATGACCTTACCGTGTAAGCTTACTGTAAGGCGGAAGTTTTAAGATGACCGCAAGTTTACTGCAGGCTTACACAGTAACCTTACAAACCCTACAGCCCACACAGCACATAAAATTTCCTGAAGTTGTCCTGAATATTTCATTGAAAGATTCGAAATATTTCAATGAAAGGTCCATGAAATTTTGATGCAACAATGAAATGTCCGCCTATAAGAAATATTGCAGTTCCGATTGTACGAAAAATTTCAGCGAAATGTTCAGGAAATGTGTGGATGAAATTTATTTAAATGACATATTATTTTTTAATATTTGCAAAATAAAAGAATGAAATATGTTACAAATTTTTAAGTGAAATATTTTGAAAAGATTATTCATTAAAATTCTAGAAATATCGAAAGGAAATATTTCTAAATTGTTAAAAATACATATTTAGGCAATATCATCCGGATATATTTGTGAAAAATAAAAAAAATGAATTTCAGAAATAAATTGCGGTAGTCATTGTGAAAATATGTGACAAAATTAGTTGACCGATAGTAAACCTTTGTAAAAGAAAAAATTTTTCGATAATAATGCCTTAAATTATAACTTACAAGTGAATCTTAAATTTAACATATCTCAAAATGTGTTAAATCGACGTATGCCGTCTTTCCGGCGATCGGTTTATATATGTACTTTTTGTCATTTGCAATTTTAGACAAATTAAATTTTAAACATTTGAATACTCTGAAAAATAGAAATGTTATCAAATGACAATTCTGCGAAAAAATCTTTTTGTTCAATTATAATTATGCAGTAAATTAAGAATTCAATTAAAAAGTTACGAATATTGAAAGTCCAGTCAAGTAAAATTTGTAACAAATTGACTTTTATAGTATATCCTTGCGTACCTGAGCGGATGTTATTTATTTTAAGTATTCTATTTTTATACTTACTGTTCATATATATTAATCATGATTCGCTTGTTGCATCTTACGTGTAATAATTTCTTTATAATAAATAAATTGTCACTATTTCACTAAATACACAAATTTTGTCACATATTTTCACAATTACTACCGCAATTTATTTCTGAAATTCATTTTTTTTATTTTTCACAAATATATCCGGATGATATTGCCTAAATATGTATTTTTAACAATTTAGAAATATTTCATTTCGATATTTCTAGAACTTTAATGAATAATCTTTTCAAAATATTTCACTTAAAAATTTGTAACATATTTCATTTTTTTATTTTGCAAATTTTAATTAAAAATATGTCAGTAATTTTTCATCCTCACATTTCCTTAACATTTCGCTGAAATTTTTCGTACAATCGGAACTGCAATATTTCTTATAGGCGGACATTTCATTGTTGCATCAAAATTTCATGGACCTTTCATTGAAATATTTCGAATCTTTCATTGAAATATTCAGGACAAATTCAGGAAATTTTATGTGCTGTGTGGGAGATATCCTTACAGTAACCTCACAGCAAGAAGTCGTGCTTTGTGGGTATAGTTTCTTACATGACACATAGGATTTTATGTGGATTTTAATATGAATTTATGTGAGATCCTATATAAGATCCTATATGAGAATTTTTAGTAGGGGGGGGGGGACCATGTGGTTTATGGAAAGCCCCAGAGATAGGGTGAGCGGGCGCAAAGTACATTCCCGCCCGCTGACGTCATAGATGCGGACGCAAAATACATTCGCGCCCGCACCATTAATAAATGCATTGGTTACGAATGTGCGACAAGTCCGTCACACTTTGATAGTTTGCGATCCACTACATTGAAAAAAAATTTTCCGAAATCTTCAACTACCTTTGGGTAGTTAAGTGAAAAGAAGTTAAAACAGTTACTTTCTTAGTTAGTTTAACAATGTTTGTGTAGTTAATTTCATTATTTCTTAAGAAGTTAAAAATTAGTAGTACAATTAACTTCCCAGTAAAAAAAAAAAAGAATTGAGAGTAAGCGATAAGAATTGGTGGTAACTTAAGCTGAATTCGGTTTGGCGAAAAAACCGAATTGGAACGTTACGGTGAATTATTTTTTTCTTACCGTGAATTATTTTTTCTTAAACATTTGAATTGACGTTTGTTTATTCGAGTTTGCATTATAAATGAATAAAATAAATACTTCGAAATCTAAAAAAGCCGATTTGGAATAAGAAATATATAATTTAAAAAAAATAAATGAAAGCGAAGTGTGACAGATTCACCGACGATTAGATCAAGTGAGTAGTGTTCATATGATAAATTTACGAGGGGGAATTTACTCAGGTAGTCAAGTGTACACTCTTCCTGTAATACTTGTGTAATATCGTGTAATACCGTGTAATAATGCGTTATTACGGTACTGTAATAACGCAAAAAAGTCTGTAATATCTCTGTAATAATGTGTAATACTCTGTAATAACGTGTAATACTTAGTAATAAGGGTAATATGAGGTGTATTACTGGTAGTCAAGTGTACACGTTTTTAACTAGTAAATTCCCCCTCGTAAATTTACTATATGAGTAGTACTCACATGGTAAAATTGTCGGTAAATCTATCACATTTCACTTTTATTTCTTTTTAAAAAATTATATATTTCTTATTTTAAATCGGCTTTTTTAGACTTCGAAACATTTATTCTTATTCATTTATAATGCAAACTCGAATAAACAAACGTCAATTCAAATGTTTAAGAGAAAAGAATTCACGGTAAGAAAAAAATAATTCACCGTAACGTTTCAATTCGGTTTTTTCGCCAAACCGAATTCAGCTTAAGTTACCACCAATTCTTTTCGCTTACTCCTAATTCTTTTTTTTTACTGGGTTAAAAATGTAGTTAGACTTTAAAACTAACTGCAAAATCTTATTATATCAACTACATTCTTAGTTATTTTAACTACTTTTTAGTAGTTAATACAACTTTAAAAATTGAGTTGAGGACCTATTGTACTATACAGGGTAGTTAAAAAGTAGTCAAATCTACTACTTATTTTTTTGAGTGTAGTGTGCGGAAACAATTTTTATACGAATAAATAAATAAAAATACATTTATTTCAGGTTCATTAAAAAAAACGTAGAAAATACCAAGGAAGTTAAGAGATATAGCAGTGAAAATAAGAATATTAAACGACTAGGCTCATGATGATCGACGCATCAGTTTTCGTTCATAATTCACTAAATTTCCAATTTTTATCTGTTTGTCACTACATTTCCTCTCTTGGAATTATATTTCACAACAAAGGCCTAATTAAATATAAACAACGACATCAAACTATCCCTGTGCTGAACACTTTCTTTAAATATCTTGACGATTCCAACAATGAAGCTCAGACAAAACTTGAGCTTCTACAAACTATATTGAGGGGAAGTGATCTTTATAGTGGTGGCGAAAATGAAAAACTTGATGCGACATACGTTGATGAAACGTATGAGTACATCATTAAAATAACTCTTTTTTCGCACTACGACAACATAAACATATATTTATCAAGACTATTAAGCAAGACATCTTCTATAACTTATTCCAATTTTATAGAATTTGTAAGAACTGAGTTCTATAAAAAATACGTCAGTAAGGATTACTGTTTAGGAACAATCCAAATTCCAGAACTTAATTTACTGTCAAGAAAAAAAACTTTTTCTGACTATATTCTACCAATGTTTCCTAAGCCAGACAATACAAATATGAATATTATAGACGAGGATTATATATACGCAATGGCTGGTTTAAAATTGGTTAGATCTGTACTTAAAGAAACACTATACGCTTCTTTTAGCGATTACGTTTCTATTGCACGAGAGTTTGATTTAGAGAATAAATATCACAAAAAAGAAATCATTGAAATAATTTTAGTACTTTTCTCAACACCTGCAGTATTTATCCATGCTTTGAAGGTAAACAATACACACAGTGAAATATCCAAAAATTTTATGACAGAGATGTTTTGGGTTAAAGCATATAAACATTTATTTTATTATCTTGGTTTAGTAGTGAATAAAATAGAGAAAATTCCTATATATCAAATATTAAACGAGTTATATATTCCCCACCTACAAATAATAGATCCTAAATTTGAATTAACTTTCCGTCTAAGCAAGTTTGGCTACAAAAGTTTGTACAAGATGAATTCCTATATGCTTAGAAAAATTCCAAACGATTTTAGATATAAAAATCTCAAATTACTATTAACATCCATGTTAGATAATTTACAAAGAAATATGCAACTGTCAACAACATTTAATGGTTTGATACCGAATAAAGAGATGAGTGAAGAAAATAATAAGGAAGTCATTCAATTCTATTATCCCGGAGGTAAAAACTTCTTTGGACCCACTTGTATTTCTTTATCGGGAAAAATTTTAGAAATGAGAACAATCGAAAGTAGACAAATCCGAGTTCCCGTGTTGCCAGTAATTTTTAAGGGAAACAAAATTTATTATATGGAATATAATCTTGAATTTGGTGAATATTCTGATGTATATCTGGAAATGGGTAGAAATGATTTTCTTCGCCAAATTATTATACCTTCTTCTGATGAACACAGACAATTTACTGGAAGAGGTGGTTTACCTAGTGACGATATTCCAGGATCCTCGGGTAGATCTGGACAAGTTATTGGAACAGAAGATATTTCAAGTGATAATGATTTTAATGCTCCTGGATCTTCGGGAGAATCTAAACATGTTATTGTATGAGAAGATTTCACAAATGATAATGATGATAATGTTAATGATGACAATTTGTATTATATCAAGAGGTTTGAAAAAGAACATTTCAATGAAATAATGGGATAAATTTTTGTTTAAATTGTAGTTCTCACTGGCTGAGAAATAATGATGAGAGGGTTCTTTGAACCATATTAATAAATATAACTTTTTTTGCATTTGAAAATTTATTTTTAAAACGTCTTTTGCCAATACTTTAAAAAAATATATTGGCGCACCTATATAAATGTTTATCTTTAGTTTTGTAAAAGTTTTAAAGGCCCATTTTTTTGACCTATTGAACATTCTACTGTTAATTAAAATTTCCCACTAAAAGTGATTGAAATAGTTATTTACTCCCCTCAGTAAGGGTAGAATTTGACAAACTCTACCATTACTGAGGGGAGTAAATAACTATTTCAACCACTTTTAGTTGGAACAAACTTTATATATTCTTCCGCCTTTTTGCGGGAAACACATCCGCCTTGCGGGGAAAAAAAATTAAGACTCCCCGAAGAATAATTTGGTGGCAACGATCACCTGTTTGTATGTTATTTTAAGTAGTAGGAGGGTTGATTTTGCAATCAACACCTCGTTGTTTCCATGCAAGTTTTAGCGAACTTGCATTTTATTAGTGGCGTGATCGGTTTAACCACCTGAGTTACTTTTGTAATTTATATATATTTTCTAATATTCCAGACTAATGTGGCAACTTCTATACATTGTAAGTCCCACAATTAGCGAAATCGATTTACAATTTAGTTCGTGTTATTTCGCACTATGAAGTTCAATAATCTCAAATCACTTGCGAAATAACCATTGATTTCAAAATTAAAATAAATAAAAAATAAAATTATAAATAGTTATTAAATTAATTTGAAATAGTAATTGAGTATTTAGCATTAGAAAATTTATAGGTGTGTGTATTGTGTATGTTGTTGGTGTATAATTTGACAACATATTTGTAATATACATATATTAACAAATATTATTTTTAATAAATAATATTTAATAAAAAAAATTAAAAATTTACGGAATTCCGCTCTTATTAACACCTAGTACCTATACACTTTATCAAGTATGCGCAAAAATCACAATTCGAAAACGGCCTAGCAATGTTTGTCGAGTGCAGATGTGAAAAAAATTGCGTAACAAAGAAAAAAAAGAAAACCCTAGCAACATATTTACAACCTTTAAAACATTTCAGGTCATCTCAAATTTATTGGGGAGTGAAAGGATTAATAAGTAAAAATTTGTCTAAAAAATAATGTTATCTAATAAAAATCTTCAAAATAAGGCTGCTTCTACAATAGTTACATTGCATTGCCTTGTAGACGATTTTTTAGAACGCGACGATTCACGCACATCCATTGCTAACTGTCAACAAAAAATTTATTTATATTCTTCCAGGCAAAATATTTTTTTTAATTTTTAGTATATGTGGAATAAATTTTTTGTCGACAGTTGGCAATGGATGCGCGTGCATCGTCGCGTCCAAAAAAATCGTCTTCAAGACGATGCGATTTAGCTATTGTGGAAGAAGTCTGAAAGTTCTAATGAGCGATTTTTTAGGGGTTAATCTTAAAAAATATAAATCAATTTCTTTTTTCTTTGTTTTAAAAATATTTATTTACGTATATATATATATATATATATAACGATAGAGTATAAAAATAATAATATAAATACATAATCATTACTGAAGTTATGGACGTAAAGAACTTGAAAACAAAAGTCGTATTATAAAAAACTTTTGAAAATTAATTAAAAATCTGATAATCTGCAAATATTCAGGTTTAAAATATTTTAAAATTATATTTTTGACCTCTACATTATCTTTGAGACGAATTTGAATGGACTGATTGCATACTTTAATGCAGGTCATTTTTTTTTATTAAATTTAGTGTAAATTTAATGTTTTTAAACACATTAAGTGAAAATTAATATCATTAAAATATTTTTAATCAAATTCTTCATCAACCACATCATTATAAGCATCACTGTTGAATTCTTCGTCGTCATCATCTATATATTCATTTAAAGTTGACAGATTCTCTTGTTTAATTTCTACGACTATATTCTCTTTTTTTTTATTCACATCAGCTCTCTGATTTAACTCTTTTTTGATTTTATTTCTAAAACGTTGTTTAGTGCTTTTAAGTACCTCCAACATTGTTTGTTTATAAATCTCTTTATTTGTGGGACCATCGAATAAAGGACATTTAATAGCAGCTCCTGGAAAAAATTTATGCCTTTTTTTATGTTCAATTTTTAAGTTAACACAATTTTTATATCCAAGAATATTTTCAACCTTTCGAAATTAATGCTGTTAAAGGTTTTTTTTGACAATATTGAGTATTTAAAACTGTGATATACTATGTGAAATTGAAAAACAATTAATTCATTAATAATTTTTTTAAATAAAACTGGACTAAAAATTTATACTTCTGTCGCAATTTTTATTATTTTTCATTGCAGATTTTTGATATGATTTTTTCATGATTTTGAATAATCTATGGTATGGATTTTGAAAAAATTCAATTATTTCAAAAATATGTTCAAAATTACTTTCTTTCATTTTTCATAGTGAAATATGATTTCTGGTTCTAAAAAATTTTTTTTATAAAATTGTTACCCCTAAACAAAACCTATTACGTTTGGTTTAAATTTTATCAATTATTTCTTAAAAATTCAAGTGCTTCCACAATTTTTATTATTTTTTATCGGTAATTTTTTTGTAGGCTTTTTTCATGATTCTGAACAATCAATCGTATGGATATTTAAAAATTTTAATATTTTCAAAAAATAAAATTTCTAAAATGGTTAAAAAAATTTTTTTTTTAATTTTGATAATTCACAATAATTTTAGATCTTAAATAATGACAGAAACATTCAATGAGTTGAAATTTCACAGGACCCTCCCCTTAACAAAATTTATGTCTAGAAAAATTTTCATAAAAAGGAATTTTTATTTCTCAGAATTGTTCTTTTATTGAATTTATATTTATTAAAATATTCACTTGACAATATTTTCATTAACTGAATTTAAATTTAACTTAATTTCTCTTTAACAAAATTCTTATTTAAAAAAAATTGATTTAAGAAAATTTTTATTTAAACTAATTTTTATTTAATAGAATTGTCATATAACAGAAATTCAACTAAGATAAATTTCTAACAATAAGTGAGATACTTACGATAAAATATGTTGGACACTTTAGTGTCACCGAATTTCTCTGTATCTTTTGTCTTAAGCCAAGTAAATTTTGCAACTAATTGGTCATCCATTATTTCCTTAAGTCCACCGCTGAGAAATTCTTTTAATCTAGACCCTCCCAATCGTACTAAATGATCATGCTGAAAAATTTTATGTAATAGTAAATTTCAAAAACAACACAAGAACATTTTTGAACATTTCTTGTAATTCATGCCGCGATCCTCGGAAATTGCTTAGAAAAAATCAGTGTAATTGCAAAAATGTCATTACTGACGAAATACTAATTTCAAAAGTTAACTAAATATTGCAAATTTAGCTGGACTTCAAAAAGTCCGAAATTTTGAATTTGTAAAATCTGGCTTCAGATTTATAATCAACAACCCGCAAAATCCACGAGAAGTTTTAAGTAAATCCAATCGATTTAAAAAAAAAATCAGCGGCCACATTGGATCAGAGATTTTGAATTTGGAAATCTTAGGAAAAATTTAGTAATCGATTCTAATTCAGCGTGAAAAAATACACGTTAAGAAACGTACAAATTCTGTAGTATGAAAAATCGGTTACATGGAAATTTTATCATATAATAATTTAAACAAATGAAAATTCAAGAAAAATTCATACAAGAAAATTCTATGCAATGACATTCTGCCTAATAAAAAGTAATTAAAATAGCCATTACGTATAGAATGAAAATTTGAGCAAATAAAAATTATGTCAAGTAAATTTTTAGATATATATAAAAATTCTCTAATGTAGAAAATCGGTTTAAAAAAAATTCTGCAAAATAATTATTTGAACATAAAAAAAATACGTCTCAATGTAAATTCTATCTAATGAAATTCTATTAAATGAAAATGCTAACAATTGATTTTTAGAACTTATGAGTCTCAAAATAATATTTTTCACTCGAAATATAATAATTAATTTTTTTTCCTAAAAATCGTTGATAGAAGAACGTTGAAATAATATTTTCACATAACAAATTATAATTAGAAGAAATATTTTTTTCTTGTAAATCACTGATCATAAACGTTGTGAATTTCACCGACTTAAAAAATTTGGAACGCATGATTATGTTCTAAAAATCATTAGTTATAATTTTTATTTGTTCGAATTAGTATTTTTCAGAATTTTCATCAAAACGATTTTCTATATTACAGAATTTTTATGTAACCGAAAATTCACTTCACAGAATTTTTATTTGTTCGTATTTTTATTTATCAGAATTTTAATTTAACATAATAGGCATTTTAAAGAATTTTTGTTGGCTAGAATTTCATTGCATAGAATTGACATTTCATTCTTTCAGATGAATTTTCAATTGTTCGAATTATTATTTGTTATAATTTCCATATAACCGACTTTTAATACTACAGAATTTTTACTTAACCAAAAAATCATTTAACAGAATTTCTAATTGATAGAATTTTTATTTGTTCGAAATTGTAAATATCCGAAAAAACCATCGACAGAAAGATTTCGGCGCGATTTTTAAAATCAATCAATCACAATTTTATGGATAGTTTTTTGATTGGTTGATTTTAAAAATCGCGCCGAAATCTTTCTGTCGATTGTTTTTTCGGATATTTACAATTTCGGACAAATAAAAATTCTATCAATTAGAAATTCTGTTAAATGATTTTTTGGTTAAGTAAAAATTCTGTAGTATGAAAAATCGGTTATATGGAAATTATAACAAATAATAATGCGAACAAATGAAAATTTATCTGAAAGAATAAAATGAAAATTCTATTAAATGAAATTCTACCCAACAAAAATTGTTTAAAATGCCTATTATGTTAAATGAAAATTCAAGCAAATTAAAATTCTGACAAGAAGAAATTCGAACAAATAAAAATTCTGTGAAATGAATTTTCGGTTACATAAAAATTCTGTAATATAGAAAATCGTTTTAATGAAAATTCTAACTAATGATTTTTAAAATATAATCATGCGTCCTTAAAATTTTTTACAATTTTAAGCATTAAGGGTTTTAAAAAAGAAACAGCGGTAAAAAGAAAAAATTATTTTTTTAGGCACCTTTAACAATATTCCAACATTCATACTTTTAATTGCAGAATATTTTTGATGCTATTTGGATTATTATTGAAAGTTATATTTTAATATTTTTGATACAAGAAATATTAATTCTGAATTTTGTCAATATTTCCCAAATTATGTATTTCCTCAATTTTTTTTTTTTAAATAAATGTTAAATGCATGTTAGAAACAATAGAATTTAGAGTTTTTTTTAAGAACGTATTATTTATTTATTTAATAAATTTATTATACTTATTTGAAAACTTACCACTTTTTGCCGATTCTCTTTATTCTTATCGGTTACCAAACTTTCAAACTCTTCCATTGTCTTCAAAGGAAAACCTGTCAGCGGTTGATACAAAGTTTCCTCTACGAACTTTTCAGAATCGCCACGCATATCATTTAAAATTTCAAGAATTCTTTTATTCTGTTTCTCTATATTGCTATTAAAAAAAATTATATATGGATTGAAAATAAATATAAAATTTTATAAAAGTATTTTCAAATTTTGAAAAAGTATTTTCAAGTCGTGGAAAATATGGTAAAAAGTAAAAAATTTCCATTTAAGAAATATTAATCTCCATTCAACTTTTATGAAATTTACAATAGTTTTATTAAAATTTGGTGTATCGTATTTGATTTATTACTAAATGTTACTAAATTTTATTGAATCCTATATTAAGTCTATAAAAATTTTTTTAAAGTTCAGAAATTTCTTATATGAAAATTATGCTTTTTAGCATATTTTCCACGACTTGAAAATACTTTTATAAAATTTGATATTTATTTTAATTTGATGAATAATTCAAAAATTCTTAATAAAATTGTATTAAATATTTTTTAAAAAAATACATTTTACTTACTCTAATCTCTGTAATATTTCGTTTTTGAATTTTAAATCATTGTCTTTATTAACTTCATGTTTCTGTTCACTGTAAAATATATCGTGTCTGTTACTCATTGCATTTAACGGATCTTGATTTGTATAATGATATAATTCTTGAGATGTTGTTAAAGATGTTGCTAGTACATTAGGATCCAACGTCTCATTCACTGTCACATCCGGTACCAATATTCTGAAATGCATTTTTTTATTCTAAAAATCGATTCGAAATTATTTTATAGTTTGCTTGTTAGACCTTTTACTATATCAAATAAAAATTCGGGGCGCATGAATTTTTCAATAAAAATTAATCGTTATTCGTTTATTAAATTCGTTAGAATTGAATAATAATATTTATTTTAAAAAAATTTATTAGATACATATAATTATTTTTTAGACTAATTTTCATTTTTAAAATTAACATTTGACAAAATATTTTTTAACAAATTGTTACTTTATAGAATTTTCAGGTACCAAATTTTTATTTGGCAGAATGTTTATTTTACAGCGAATTTCTTTTTACACAACTTTTTAAAAGTATTTTAATTTAACCTAATTTTATTTTAGCATAATTTTCAATCAACAAAATTTCAAGTGATTCGAATTATTATTAAAATATATTATTATTCTTAAAATGATGAAAAACAGTACTAGTGGATAGGAAAGTATCCAAAGAATCTATTGCCGTTAAAATTTTTAAGTTATTATTGACAAACCATTTTTTTTTTTTAATAAATTTTAAAAGAAAAAATAAAAATAAGTTATAATTTAGATTATTAAAATTATGAGAATTTAAAAAAAATACTTTTTTCATGTTTGCTTTTTTGTTGGCTTTTGATTATTATTATTTATTATTATCATTTAGCAATTTGATTTTTAATGCTTTGTAATAAATTTTCTTGAACAAAAATTAATAATTTTACGAAAATAAGAAAAAAAAATTAAAATTTAAAAAATATTTCTGTTATCTAGCATGAAATTTATAAACATTATATAAAAAGATAATTTTGCTTTTATGATAAAATATGTAATTTTCAAAAGAACTTTTAAATAAATATAATAAATCTTTTATTTAAATTAAATTTTATTTCTAGATCGAGAGGGTATCAAAAACACATTTTAAAAAATTGTTTTGTTTGCTCTATTTTTCATTCTAGGTGGGGCATTCTATGGGAAATTTTCATTGAAAATTTTTTTTTTGTCCGAAACATTTTTTTTCGAAATCTATATGAAAAATAAAAAAATATGTAATTTTTTATTTTTTTATTTGATGAAAATGAAGGAAGTTATGATTTTTTGAAATTTAACGTCAACGAAGAAAGTGTGTTTTTGGAACATTTTTTAATCTATTGTACTAATAAATTAAAAATTATGCTATATATGAAATTTGTTCATTTTTTCTCAAATTTGTCAAATATGTGCTCAAAAATAACGTACCTATAACAGAAGCAACAAAAAAGTTGAAATTAAACTTATAAAGTGAGTTTTCTCAAAAGAGACACTTTCGATTTTTAATTTTTTTGTTGCATTACAATCTCTGATGATTAAAGATTTTTTTCCCCTATCTGCGAAAGTGGTATTTTTAGTTTTTAAATTACTATTTATAATTTTTTTTAGTACGGCTCACAGAATTTAAGCATTTTTTCTACAAATATAACCTTTTTCCATTAACATTCATTTGTTTTTTTTTAATTTGCATGAAAACATACTAAAAATCGTTGCGTCAAGCTTAACAATTTGTAAATAGTAATTTTAAAACTAAAAGTACCACTTTCGCAGATAGGGAAAAAAATTATTCAGTCATCAGAGATTGTAATGCAACAAAAAAATTAAAAATCGAAAGTGTCTCTTTTGAGAAATCTCACTTTATAAGTTTAATTTCAACTTTTTTGTTGCTTCTGTTATAGGTACGTTATTTTTGAGCACATATTTGACAAATTTGAGAAAAAATGAACAAATTTCATACATAGCATAATTTTTAATTTATTAGTACAATAGATTAAAAAATGTTCCAAAAACACACTTTCTTCGTTGACGTTAAATTTCAAAAAATCATAACTTCCTTCATTTTCATCAAATAAAAAAATAAAAAATTACATATTTTTTTATTTTTCATATAGATTTCGAAAAAAAATGTTTCGGACAAAAAAAAAATTTTCAATGAAACTTTCCCATAGAATGCCCCAGGTACATTACACAGGCACACAAAAAAAAAAAAGTTGTCTGTTTCTTGAACTAGACATATATTTCCTATAGTAATTTGGCCCGCTGAAACCGAATCTGTGCTCAGAATTGCTCCATCACCCTCAGTTTATTTTTAAATCGACAAAACCACCCTTAAATGGACAAATTCACACTTCGGAGATAAAAAATACATCAACTTATTTTTTTAAAAAATCGAATTTTACATCTAAGAAACTTTGCTCCACTAACTCTAAAACAAAGCCAGCATTGATCCAGCACCCCCTGAATTTTTTCAATTGAAAAAACTACCCCTAATCTGCAGAATCAAATTAAGGAGATAAAACAATAAAATAACTGATTGACAAATTTCATAACCAGATATTTTTACTCCAGCAATGCAGAAACAAAGCCAGAAATGATCCCTTACCCACTAAATTTTTTTTTTAATCGAAAAACCACCCTTAAATAGAAAAATTCAAATTTAGGAAGTAAAAAAATATTAAATTACCGGCTTTTTTTAAAACAGAACCTTACATGTATGTAGTTTTGCTCTACTAACTTAAAAAAATAAAGCCAGCATTGATCCACCACCCTCTGAATTTTTTTAAATCGAAAAAACTACCCCTAATCTGAAGAATCAAATTCAGGATGTAAAACAATAAAATAACTGATTGACAAATTTTATAACCAGATATTTTTACTCTAGCAATGCGGAAACAAAGCCAGAAATGCTCCCGCACCCTCTAAAATTTTTTTAAATCGTAAAAACCACCAAAGAATCAAACTTAGAAGGTAATTTAATATAATTATATTGTGTTATCTCCTAAGTTTGATTCTTCAGGTTAAGGGTAGTTTTTTTGATTAAAAAAAATCACAGAGTGATGGATCAATGCTGGCTTTATTTTTTTGAGTTAGAAGAGCAAAACTACATACATGTAAGATTCTGTTTTCCAAAAAAACCGGTAATTTAATATTTTTTTACTTCCTAAATTTGAATTTTTCTATTTAAGGGTGGTTATTTCGATTTAAAAAAAATTTAGAGGGGAGGGAGCATTTCTGGCTTTGTTTCTGCCTTCTGGAGTAAAAATACCTAGTTATAAAATTTGTCAATCAGTTATTTTATTGTTTTACCTCCTGAATTTGATTCTTCAGATTAGGGGTAGTTTTTTTAATTAAAAAAATTCAGGGGGTGCTGGATCAATGCTGGCTTTGTTTTTGAGTTAGTGGAGCAAAGTTTCTTAGATGTAAAATTCGATTTTTTAAAAAAATAAGTTGATTTATTTTTTATCTTCGAAGTGTGAATTTGTCCATTTAAGGGTGGTTTTGGTCGATTTAAAAAAAAACTCAGGGTGATGCAGCAATTCTGACCTCAGATTCGGTTTCAGCGGGTCAAAATACTATAGGAAATATATGTCTAGTTCAAGAAACAAATAACTTTTTTTTTTGTGTGCCTGTGTTATTTAATTTTTTAATTTAAATTTTTAAAGAAATAAAACAAGTTAAAACGTAAGAATCGAAACGAATTAGTGTAGATATATTTAAGAAAAAATAAATTGCTTGAAAATAATTTCAAAAAAAATATTGCAAGTTTTTAAAAATATTTTTAGATATAGACATACATTTTATAAATGTGAAAAATTTTAAAGCAGTAAAAATAAGACACGTGTAGAAAACTAAGTTCTTGAAACAAAATACCGATTTGTCGACAACAGTTAAAATAAATATCATTTAACAACTTACAATATTAAAAAAATGTATAAAATTTTGCTTGATAAAGTCAAACATTAAAATATTTAATCATCCATCTAGCTTTCATTGGTTCACTTCTGCATTAAAGACAATTTCAAATAGTTCTTTTACATTACAAGTTGTCATTCACGGTGAGTAAAATTCTAAATAATAATTGGCATATTTTCACTTTTATTTTGTGTTAAAATTTTTTAAATGTTCCTATAATTTTTTAACGCTAATTATTTCATCAATAGATTTATTTTTTTGTTATTATAAGTGCCATTGCATGAAAGGGTATTTTCTTTTGTTAGCTTGTTTGCAAATAAAAATAATAAAAGAATAAAGTACAGGATTTTTAAAACTTTTTTACCTTCTCTTCCAAATTGGTAATTTTGGAGAATTTAAAATTTTATCTACGTAAAATTTTAACGATCTTCTTCATCATTATTCTCGTACTAAATTTGAATATAGAAAATTGTACCAGTTATGCTAACTTTACTATATGACTGCCTTAGCGGATTGCAAACTATATAACTGTTCGACGAACTCGATGCGCGTTCATCTTGGCCAGGAGTGTCTTGCTTACTGCAAGCTTCAAATGAAAGATTGCAGTGTAAGGTTACTGCAAGATTGTACAATAAGATTATCGCAAAATTGCTCAGTAATCATGCACAGTAAGCTTGTAGCAAGGTTGGTGCTTGGTTGCCAAATGACCTTGCTTTGAACGTCAAAAATTTTTTTTTTAATGTTTCGAAATTAAACGAAACATTTTTTAAAACCTTTTTTTAGGTTTGAAGCAAAGAGGGTCATCCATAAAGCATGTGATACTTTAGGGGGTAGGGGGGATCAGCAAAATATCACGCTACATGTTAATCGTTAATAGAAAAAGCATCACAAAGGGAAGGGGGGGGGTGTTAAAATTTCGAAAAAATGTATCACATGCTTTATGGAAGACCCCAAAGTTATTTGGCAATCTTGCACCAACCTTGCTGCAAGCTTATCGTGCAAGTTTACTGAGCAATCTTGTGATAATCTTATTGTGCAATCTTGCAGTAACCTTACACTGCAATCTTTCGGTACGCTTACCATGAAAGATAGAGTCAGGTGGGACATTTAAAGCTTGCGGCAAGTTTGCTCTGCAAGGTTTGGCAATATTGAGCGGCAAGCTTGCCGTAAGGTTGCTGCAAGCTTATGTTCTATCTGGTAGTACTACTATCTGGGCACATGGGAAAGTGCTGGGACACGATTTCTGCCGTATTTTGGAGAAACACAGTAACC